TGGTCAGTTTTCAAACATCTGTTTGGACAGAAACCACCCCTAGGGTTCTGCCGTCTGTGACCCTCCTCTACTGGCCCGCAGTTGTCTTCCTGGAATGAGTAGCAAGCGCTTCCCTTCCTTCTATTTAGAGTATCCTTCGATGTTCGTGTGCTTGTATTTCCCTTGGTGATGAGATGCTGAGAGAAACTGAAAAAGTACACTGGAAACAGGCGTTCTTCCTCCGCGCCCAGGGTGTCGCTCTCGGGGTGTTAGGCATCTGTGAAATGTTTATGTTGTGCCACAGATTAAGTGCGCTGACTGAAACACACTTTCTTGGGCCTTTTTACTGCTGAGTAGAGTGCCAAGGGGAATAGCTGGAAGTTGGCAACTCTGGTTCACTGCGTGGTTGTATTGATTGACGTTCTGTATTTAATAATCAAGGAAAGCTTTGAAAGATAGTGGGGGTGGTGGAGGAGCCTTTTCTCAAGGAGTTAGTGGAATGAGAGCAAAAATTCCATACTTTAGAATTGCCTGTACTTTTCCCACCCTTTCTTCTCCCAAAAATAAAATAGAGATTTGTGCTCCTCAGCCTCTTCTCCAAACCCGTTTATCATCCAAAGGGAGTGGGCCAATCCTTCCGCACCCCACCTCATCTGTGACACATGTCAGGAACCTAGGAGAAAGGTTTTCTGGCAGGCTTTTCTTGGAGTTACTTTAATTATTGTTGACCAGGAGGGCAAGTGACCAGCTGAACAACAAGGCCCACTGATCCTCTGTCAGAAAGTCCTAGGCTCTAAACTGACTTTCAGGAACATGTTTTTCTCATTTAAGCACTGTGAGAGGAAGCATACAAAGTCTCTTTTCTTTTCTGCTGTCCACTCCCTTCAAGAGAGTGGAGCTTCAGGGTTGTTTCTGACGTCAAGGGTAAAGCAGTGCTGGCTGTTTAGGCAAGAGCGCTTTGGGGAGGGGGCCAGAGGGCTTCTTTGAAGACCCTTATGAACTTTCTCGTTCTAAGACTTTTTGCTTGTGGACCAACCAGAGACTCTGTGACCACAGTATTCGTTTATTAAAATTTCACATCGTTAAAAGATGCTCAGTGAGGAAGGACCAGCACCAGACACACCTCTAATGGACCCTGATTAGCACTCAGGGGATTTGAAGAGAAGTTTGAATCTTCAGAGCCTGACAGTGGCAGCTCTGCGTTCTATCCAGGGCTGGGCATCTGTTCTTACAGATCAGCCTTAGCAGCCTTCTTTCCTGCTGCTGCGGTTCCCAGTCTGTAGGTGAGATGTTAAATACAAGCCGTCTCTGTCCAGAGGAGATTGATGGGACATCTGACATTTTCCAGACAGAGCGAAGGCTATCTCCATTGTCCTGACTGGCGTTATGCATTTACATCTTTATGGTGGACAATACCATAGTAAATCAAATGTTCTTTTTGTATCCTCTCTTTAAATATCTCATGAGACTGTGGAATGGGTTAGAATGTCTGTTTGCACTGTCCTTTGCCTACCATCTCTTTGACTTTGGAAATTCTGGCCAATGGGGAAGCCCCACTGAAGTTGTGCTGGTAGCAAAAGCATTAACATCTTGGCTAATCATTGCTGGCGAACTGATTCATTAGAAACTGTTGGGTGGGTAGGATCCTTGCCTGTTACCCTGGGAGAAAATGAGCCAAACAGCATACCAAGGGCAGTGTTGTAAATTTTCTTTTGTTCCCTTAACTCTTTTTAAAGAACATGCCTTCTCAAGATAGGGCAGTGGTTAGAATCATGTGATTGCATAGCTAACGTGTGTCACTTTTTGCTTTAACAAGCCTTTATTTGGTACTTTCTCTGTGCAAAGCACAATACTCAAAAACAATTGCATTCTTTTTGGGCTTTGGTATAAGAAGCTAGTGATGTTGCATGCCCTCTGGGTGTGTACCCTTTCTCCCTATTGGTATCTCTACATTTTCTTTGTGACGTTTAATGGCACTTCTGTGTATGTGCTTACGCAGCACTGACTGAGTTATTGCTTTCTAGGTTGGAAATGTTTTTTTCACTTACCATCATTCTTAAGAGAGATAATCTTTGAACAAGTCAGCATATCTGAAATTGGAGGTGAATTGGAGGATTAGCAACTCTTCTATAAATGGGACATTTTATGTACAAAAGTATTTTTAAATATTTAAGGATAAACTGCCAAAATTACCTGTACAGTCTTGAAAAAAGAAGAGTTCAAGTATAGCTCTAAATTGTAATCGACAATGAGTCATTTGCTTTAGGGAGGCCAACTATGAAAACAGCCTAGTTTATGCCCCTAATGATAATTACGAAAACTCCTTTTAAAAGTCAGTTGGATCTCAAATGAACTGTAAGCCTACTTGGATGAAATTTTCATTTCTACTTATTTAAAAAATTATCCAATTAACAGTTGGAAATGCTATTCTCTACCCACACATAGACAATTTTCAAAACTGAAATATTAAATGTTTCATAGTAACATTTGTTCTTGTAGTGTAGAGATAATTTAATATATAATTACTGAGTGTTGAAAAAAGATCCCACACACCTTATAATTTAGAAAGCAGGGAATGGAAATATTAAAGGTATGTTTGTAGCAGCCAGGGGTAACTTGGCGTTTTGTTAATAAATATAATACATATTTTATAACAGATATAATGCCTGTGAAAATAAAGGGGAATCATGTACATATGACACCAGTTTGTCATTGCCATTAATAATACCTGTGTTGCAGGTGTCTTGATAAGGACTTTACATATATTAGCTTATTTACTTTTATACAAACTAGTGAAACAGGTATATTTTCATAGTATAGATGAAGCTGCTAAAACATAGGTAAAATAAACTACCTCACCCTATGTTGCCCATCTGGAAAGTTGCAGAACTGGGATCTGAGAAATAGCAGTCTAGAATCTCCACCTTTTTTCCCAAGGCAGTCTTGCCTTCATATATGGTTCTGTAGAAAACATTTCATAATATTTGAATGAATGATATTGGCTTACTCCCAGGTAATGATGCAGTATTGTTTGACCAATTTGTATTTGTAAGTAGGGCCTTGATAAACGCTGCTGAGAAAGAAATAAGCAGACTCAGAAGTCCAGTAAAACACCCCTACGCGTGGCACTTTGAGATCTGGAGGAAACAGCCCCTTTTTCACACGGCTATGGACACCCACTTGGCGGCCTGCATGGGTTCTCTTCCTCTCCTCCCCACTTGTCTGTTCTCATGTCTAAAGAAATGTAGTTGTTTTCATCCCTGCTTTTACATCAGGTCCATCACAACCCAACATCAAAAAAATATTTTTTCAATTTAATAACAACGCAAGCCACCAAAATAATTAGTGTCTATTAGGGATAGACATGGCCTCAGGTACAATATGGGCAGTGTGCCTTTGTGTGTGTCTCTTCTTTGTGAATTAAATGAATCTTTTTTTTTTTTTTTTTTTTAATAAGGATCAGCACAGCTGGTTCCTATGAGGCGGAAGTTAAAGATGTCCCAAATGTCCAACTTTTCCAAACTTCTGTACTACTCCATCATCTCTAATATCTGCTGCTTCCCCTCCCCTCCGTACTCCTCCTCTTGTCTTTGGATTCCGTAGTTTGCTGCAACATCTCACAGAACTCACGTACCATACTTAACAATTAAGTGGTTTATTAGGGAAGTAACAGGGTATAACTCAGGATCGAGATCAACTTGGAAGTAACAGGAACAACTCAGGACACAGTTCCTTGATCAGAACAACTTCTCCTCGCCCTCTGCGATCGGGCCCTGCTGGGTCCTTGCTGCCACCAGGCCCTGCTGGGGACTTTCTTGGGCAAGTGTTACACTTCTTAGCTCTGTGGATTGGCAAACCCCACCACAGCCATCCTGCACCCATCTCTCACTGTAATAAGGAAGTATTACAGCTCCTCTCTCTCCGTATTTCCCTTCAAGCCTAGCGGGATGGCAAAACTGACCAATTCCCTTGTTAGGATTTGATAAACCTTATTTGTATGGTCCCACCCCCACAAGGTTGCCATGTACCTTATTTACATCAAGCTATTGAATCCTCTTGGTGGGCCACAAACACTCATTTGCATAGTCCCACCCAGTCATTTGGTGGGAGTTACAAAGACTATGGCTAGAAGGGCCGTATTAAGTAATTCACTATACCGAAGAACAGTCTTGCAGAAGAAGCAGAAGAGGGGGGGTGTGAGGAAAGCTCTGGGCATTTCCAAAGCATGACTTAACTAGAATCAAAATGATAGCATTGGAAGGGATGACAGAGGTCTTTTAATGTATCCCAGCCTCCTGACTTTATAGACAAGAAAAACTGAAGTCTAGAAAAGCAAAAGGATTTGTCTACAACAGGAAACAATAAAGCTTCATTTAGAGCTGGAGCCTTTAATCTTCACATCTAATGTTCTTCTCTCCGTGCTGAAGGAAGCCGCATCACCAATCAGAGCAAGAACATGGTGGCCCCAACTCCAGGGAAATGAGTTAAGCCATTATTTTGTCATCTCTAAATGCCCCCCGACTACAAACAAGATGGAAGATGCCTTTTGACCCACTGATTGGTAGGGGACGTGCCCATACTGGAGAAAGGCAGGGTCACTCATGCCTTATACTTCAGTAGTTTGGCCAGCTTTCCCTAGGGTTGGGCATCCATTGCCCAAAGAGAAGAAACCAGTTAGTAAGCAAGTAGGTTATTCATAAGATGAGCAATACTTGCTGAACCTTAGTGGATTCTCAATAAATAGGTGCTTTACTGTTTAAGAAAAGGTTTCAAAGTTGGATGTGTTGTTACTTCTTGGACAGCATTTTCAGGTAGTAAAATCTGGTTGATATTTAGGAAAGTATTAGTCCCTTTTCATGCACTTTTGGATGTGTTACCCCCTCGTTGATTGTAATATCCAGCTAATATGGGAGAATCTTACACTTGCTTTTGAAGGGAAAAGCTATACTGATTTTCAAGTTGTTTTATTTTTGTAGGTTTGGAATATCACATGAAGCAAAATTGCCGTTTTCTCTGGCAGCAGACTCGTGGATGAAAAAGTATGACACAAGTTTGATGTTTGTGTCTGCTTTCTCAAGGTCAAGAAATTATCTCCTCAGAAGGCGACAGTACTATGCATGTTATGAATTGTGTCTCCTTGGGCAGTGATAAAGAAAATGGGAATATCACCACAGCAGCTGGATTCATGATTGGGCAAACACCACCACCAGTGTCTCCTCCACCTCCTCCTCCACCCCCTCCACCTCCACCATGTCCGTTTTCAGGGGAAGGCTTTCTTTCCTCTCCTCCTCCTCCCCCACCACCTCCACTACCTGGGGAACCTCCAGTCCCACCTCCGCCTCCAGGACTGCCCCTACCTTCTCACATGAACGGATACAGTCACCTTGGGAAGAAGAAGCGAATGAGAAGCTTTTTTTGGAAAACCATTCCAGAGGAACAAGTTCGTGGCAAAACCAACATCTGGACCTTGGCAGCCAGGCAACAGCATCACTATCAAATTGATACCAAGACCATCGAGGAGCTCTTTGGGCAGCAAGAAGACACCACCAAGTCTTCCATTTCTAGGAGAGGAGGAACTCTTAATTCATCCTTCAGGGATGGTCGAGAAGAGGTAAGAATGGGGCATGAAGGGGTAATCTTCCACACACTGCATTGGGCTGTGTTTGGGGTGTGCAGATATTTCAAAAAATTACTAGATTTCACTAAGAAAAAAGATAATGCAAGCGAATGTGCCCTGGAAATGATAGCAGTGGCCTTACAGGCTGGGCTTGAGCTGAGTAGTGAAAAAGTATAATAAGTGTGCATGCTCCATTCTCCCAGACATCCCTGTGGATTATGACCTCATGTAGAGAACATGCTACTTGGGGGCCATTGCTGTTGGCCTCTCAGTCCTGTTCTGCCTCTAGCACATCTGCGTGGTTTCCCTGGTGGAGAATTCTGCTGAAGCCCAGTATTGTAAGTCTCTGTTAAAACAAAAAACTGAGTTCCTGAGCTAGATTGGTAGCTATCTGGGATTAACTGGGCTGCTTGGGACAAAATGCCTTTTGTTAAACAACATCATCAACTAATATGCATCCTATGGATTTTATCCTTATTCTCCCCTCCAGTTTTCCTTCAGCAAGTGTTTTTGAGATGGCCTTCATTCCTCAGACCTGTGAACTAAATTATAGCCATTGTGGAACAAAGATTTTCAGAGAGCCAAAGCATAGCTGTATTTTCAGATAGACTTTATAGAAGAAGCATGTTTCCCAGTTAACACTAAATGTGTTACTTTAAGAAAAAATAAAGCTAACAATTTATAAGAAGTTAACAGAAAGCAAGACCCCAGAGCTACAAGTCATCATATATTACAGAAACTGAATTTAAAAATACACTTTTAAGTATGCTTAGTTTAGAAACATGAAAATAAAGAAACCTCTACTTGCTGGAAGAAATAATGAGGAAGCCAGGAATTGAAAGGAAAGAATGCTTTGCATCCCTGTGTATGCATGTGCACAAGCGCGCACGCAGCAACAGAAATTCATCTTTTTTTTTATCTGCTGCAAAGGAGCAGGGAAAATAGGTCAATGATGGGGTTGACTAGATAAGGGAATGGGCAGGGCCCTGGAATAAAGTAGTAGCTCTATGCATTATTGAGTGCTTGAGTCAACAATATTGACCTCTTTTTTCTTTCTGGCTGAGGAACATGTCAACTCCTCCTTTCCATCAATTCACTGGGGGACCCTTAAAGCTGGATGTATGATCCCCTGTTGAAATGCCTAGAGTCTATTTATGATAAAGTGCAGAGAAGGCTAGGGGGCAGAGAGTTTAAGTTAATGGGAGTGAAACAACTAGAACAGAAATAACGAGAATGTTGACACAATGTGAAGAATGTGACCATTGTCACTGATTATTATGTCTAGAAGCTGTGGAAGGGGAGTGGGTTTTTCTCCAAAAAATAAAATAAAATATTAAATTTAAAAAATTAAAAATGCAGAGAGCACTAAGATTAGAATGGTTTAAGAGTGAGCTATGAAAATTTGAGAAGGAAATCTTCAGGAGAAACCTTGGCGACCTCCGGTGCTGAACGCAGGCTTTCCCTGGCTGTTTATTTTTTACAAAGACCTTTTTTTCCCTTCAAGTATCCTTTCACTATTGGAAGGAGCAGTAAATCATTTCATTGGTACCCTGGCCTTTGCCCCAGCTTCCAACAGAGGTTCTTTATTGTACAGTAGGTCATTTCTAATCATTGTCTACTAATTAAATTTCAAGAATATTGAAGGAAAGATTGAAGGGACGTGTGTGGGAGCATATATCCCAGGAAAGCACCTGTAATGGAAGAGATTGACCCAGCTTGCCCCTGTGGGGCAGTTGGCCACATTAGAATGGGTGGCTTCCTTTCTGAAGTGCAGAAACTTATTTTACCAAATGATAGTTTCAGGGCCTACAGGGAATTTACTGCTTTATGTTTGCAAATTAAAGAGAGGTTAAGAATCACTCAGGGATGGAGGGAGGTGGCAGGGGTGTGGCATCTTTTCCCAGCTATGACAGAAACAAAAATGTCCATTTCCTTAATAAAAAAAATCTTTCTCTTCATCTCCCTCCATTCCTGCACCCAGCTGGATCTTTACTTTTAACTCTTGTAGGTCCCAATCTGAGAGACAGCATACTAGAAAGAAATACTATATCCCTAAGACTGTGTATTATTACTAATCTAACTCTTCAACTCTTTAATATTCAGATTATAATAAGTAGTTTAGGTAGATAGATTTAAGTGGTATTGGGTGATACTGTCACACAACAAAGGTTATCCAGAATTATTTTCAATTTCTTCTGCTGTGTCCAACATGAGTAGATGTGTGTGTGTGTGTGTGTGTGTGTGTGTGTGTGTATATATATATATATCATTGTGTACACATGCATCTATATAAGAATATAGTACTGGCTATTTTCTTTTCTCATTAGATTTTCTTCTAAAGAAGTTATAACTCTTTAGAGTTACAATCTAACAAAGAAAAGTAATGAATCTTCCAGCTCACTCTTGAGTAAGTAGAGTCTAAGGTTGAATGTAGTAGTCCTCACCATCTGTCCATGCGGCCTGGAGAATGCCCTAAACAGCATGTTCAGCAGAGGGACAGACCCAGTGCCTGGACACATGACATCAACTTGTTATAACACAGGCCATGATTCTGGAGGTTGAAATGTGCTGAGGATCAGATTATGTCCCCTTAAAATATAATAACCTCCTATAGAAATGGCCTAGCATTACGTGGTTGGCATATACTTTAAAGGGCTTATAAAGTATTAGAAGTAAGTTCCGTTATACTCCAAAAGAAGTTGTTGGTAGATAGGAGAGATATGGGCTTGGGAATGGCTGAAGTGAGAAGGAATGATACTTAAAACAGTAGAATAGAACAATTAATAGGGAAAACAAAAAGGTTATAAAATTTTACTATCCTTATATCCTTCTTACCTAAAAATTACTTGGAAGAGATTATAGATGTGATGGTACAATAGTAATTAAACCATAATAAAGTAATTAGAAATAGCAAATATTACTGGGGGTAAAAAAAAATGGTTCAGCCGAACTCCACCTTCTTTCCAGAGTTCACTGATGTTGTCCCCTCAAGTTCCGTTGTTCCCTGTCCATCTATTACCAGTGTTCCCCCATCCTCCTCAGGAACTCACAGTAAAGTTGGTTGGGTCTATATGTGTCTCTTTCTGCCATAGGACCAGCTCTTGAGTGTCAGGCCCATGTCTTAGCCATTTGTTATCCTCCAAAGAAAAGTAAGTGTAACTGAATTGGACCAAATTGAACCAAGGGAGCAAAAGGTCTTACAAGGTATCAAAAGATCAAAATTGGGATTCACACATACACACACACACAAAAAAAACACACACACACAATTGTTAACGCTTGAAATCCTTTACTATGATGACTGTAGCAATATTACATTGACCGGAGAGGAAATAACTAAAATTGCTTATTAGAAAAAAAAGGAAAGGAGAGCGGGAGAGAGAAAGGAAGGATGAAAGGAAGGAAGACTGGTTTTGCTAAATTTATGAGAGGTGATGTTTTCTTCTACATGGTTATTCAGGTATCAGTCTTTCCCAATTTCTGTTATGATCCCGTATGTTCTAGAATTATGGGACATGGTCATAATTCAGAATTATAGAACTAGATAGAGTGTTTAAAATATATTCTAAAAAAGAATGTACTTGAACTGGGTTTTCGTTTCTTTTTTAAGGGTAGGGGTGGGGCCAATTCCCAATTGACAGGCAACCAAAAATTTAATAAAGGAAAACCACCCAAAAGCTAAGTCCATATTGGAGGCTACAGAAAGATTGTTTGTTTTGCTTTTCAGAATATGAAGTGGGATCGAAATAACCACTTTTTAGTGTTATTTAAGTAGGTATACTGAAATGAACATGGTTTATAAAATTTTTTTTCCTTTAAAGGACATGAAAAGTAAATTTTGAGGTGGATACTAGGTGAAGGAATAAGAATTGTAGGGGAAGAAACTAGGAGAGCTTGTTTGGAGGTTTTAGGGAGAGGGGCCAGGCAGCCATTCATACACGCTCTTCTAAGGAGAATAAATAGTACCTCAGTTTCAGTGTGTCCGAGGGCCACTGAACCACAGGCCATCTGGCAGTCTGTGGGATAACTATTATCACCAGCAGGTCTTCCTCACATCCTAGTGGGAAATCTTTGGATTGAGCTGAATGCATTACCTTATATTTTAGCTCTCCTGTTCACCAGGAATGGATTAACTCCATTCTCTGGTGGGAGAATTTAGGCTTATAATGGAAGGAACTCTGGTGGAGCAATGGTTAAGAGCTCGGCTGCTAACTGAAAGGTTGGTGGTTCAAACCCAGCAGCCGCTCCTTGGGAGAAAAGACCTGGCAATGTGCCTCTGGTAAAGATTACAGCCTAGGAAACTCTATGGGGAATTCTACCTGTCATTTAGGGTCACTGAGAATCAGAATTGACTCGGTGGCACACAGTGGAAAAGCTGGTGAACTCTGTAGACCATTGATTGCATCTGTTGCAGAAACTGACTTCAGTGGTGGTCCTGCCTACAAGTCCTGTTCTGTCCAGAAGAGTGGGTTATGGATTGATTGGAACTGGTGGAGAAGTGAAGAGGGGTGGGGTTAACCAGGTTCATTTATTGGCCATGTTGGTTCATCCTGTTGTTGTTCAGGCGAGGTGTCTATGACTTCCAAGCTTGGGCTGCCAGTGAGTCCCCCAGGGATCCCACGTGCAGATTCTGCTGCCCTCAGTGATTCCAAATCACCACCCAATCCCACACAGATTCCTTTCTCAGTCGCCCAGCAAGCATTTGGGAAGTAAGATAAGCTAATTTGCATGTGTTTTGACAACCCTCTCTAAAGGACTTTAACACCTTTACAACAGTGCTTTAGAAGGATGAAGAGTGGTAACTATGACAAAGAGCCTTCTAATGCACTAGCAGGTCTAGGATATCAGAAAAGAGTGGGGCTATCACCACATTATCAGTTGTCTCATTTTCTTTTGTTTGGACAAGGTGCTGCGCTTTGGTTTCCCTGTACATGCTCAATAATGGCCAGCCCAGGTGTTTCCTCAGGTGATATTACTGACTTCCTTAAATTGGCGAGTGGTTTCTGAGGCCCCACTTTAGGCTGTGGAAACAGCAGTGTTTTGAAGCTGTCTTGAAGCTGTGGCTGCCTCTTTGTTGAGTGTGGTGGGCTTTTCCTGTAGGGCTAGGGAAGTTCTTAGACTCCTGGCAGGTGTCTTAGCTGGTGAGAAAATGACTTCTGTCCATCCTCCCACAGATACAACTCTAGGGCCGCCACAGGAGTTGGCCAGGCACTGCAGATGGCTTTCTACAAATCTGCCCCCATTCCTAGAAAAGTATTACCCTGTGAATACCCCTGGAAGCCCTGGTGGTGCAGTGGTTAAGAGCTCGGCTGCTAACCAAAAGGCTGGCAGTTCGAATCCACCGGCTGCTCCTTTGAAACCCTATGGGGCAGTTTTACTCTGTCCTATAGGGTTGCTATGAGTCAGAATTGACTTGACCGCAAAAGGTTGGTGAATACTACTGGTGGAAGAACATTTGCCATGTCTATAGGAAGCTCAGCAATATGAAAACTCTTGGGAAATAGAGTCAGGAGGAGTCAGAGAGACTCGGACTAGCATTTCAATGGTACTGCCTTGGGAAGTTTGAAAAATGACATCTCTAAGGCTGTTTCCTTATCTGTCAGGTAGGGATAATGAGAGTAATTTTCTCCCTCACTTTTCCAGCAACAGTTGTGGACCTAGGCCAGATGCACCAAGAGTCCCAGAGGGTGGAGGGGTGAAGAGAGTGAGGATGGGACTGGGGGTGTGTGGGCGTGTGGGAGGGTGCTGTAGTCAAGGGTTAAATATAGCAGGAGGTGGCAATTTAATGTGAGAAATATAAAACACGTGGTTTCCCCGTTCCAGATAGAAGGGAGTGCAGAAGAAGTTCTTTGTATATATATGTAGATATAGCACTGTACGTGTTCTTACTTATGGCCTTCTAATTTGTGAATTATAGTAAGCACATAGTTTTCTGTCCTAATAAATTTAGATTCCTCTTTTTAGGGTGAGATTTCCTTGTCAACGGGTGTTAAGTTTGACCTGTTTTCTTCTCACCCGTTCTTTCTCCTTCTCCCCCCTCCCTTCACACTGAACTTGACCTGAAATCCCTGGGTAGGATTCCAATAAGGAGCTTGCCCTTTTAGCTTGGGAGTTTATTTTATGGCTGGCAGGTGATTGCGTTAACATGAAATAAAGCCCTGAGTTAGTAAATAATGTGGTTGTTTAAGATTAGTCTTCAAAAGAAGGCAACCATACTCTTGTAAAAATTTAACCTTATAGCCAGGAAGTGACATTAACATTGGGTAACAGTCTTACTGCTTCTAAGCATTCTTATAAACGTAGAAGCAAGTCCAGAGATCAGGAATTTAGTTTGAAACCTGATTCTCTTTTGTTCATGATGAATAACATTCATTTGGAAAGGAAGGACATTATAACAACATTCCTATTTTAGCTAGTCTCCCTTTACCAAAAAACAAATGGAAAAAATTGCAGCAGTTTTAACGTTATCTTTCCTCCATACATCCTGGATATTTACTTCCAAAGAAATAAAAGGCTTCTGTATTAAAAATAATAATAAGTTCAGTGTAATTCCTAGGCTAATAAAACCCTTCCAGATTATTAATGCTGAGCAGTAAAAATCTGTTGCAGTCAGGTGCCGGGCTACCACCAGTGACCACCCTGACACGGAATACAACAGAGAGTCCTTGCTGGAGCAGGAGAAGAGTGGGGTGCAGAACTCAAATCTAGTAAAAAGACCAGACTTAATGGTCTAACTGAGACTGGAGGAACCCCCGAAAGCATGGCCCCTGGACTCTCTGTCAACCCAGAACTAAAACCATTCCCAAGGACAACTCTTCAGACAAAGATTAGACTGGACTATGGGACATAAAATGATACTTGTGAAGAGTATGCTTCTTAGCTCAAGTAGATAAATGAGACTAAATGGGCAGCTCCTGTCCGGAGGTGAGATGAGAAGGCAGAGAGGGTCAGGAGCTAGTTGAATGGACACGGGAAATCAGGGGTGGAAAAAAGGAGTGTGCTGTCACAGTACAGGGAGAGCAATTAGGGTCACATAACAACGTATGTATAAATTTTTGTATGAGAGACTAACTTGAATTGTAGACTTTCACTTAAAGTACAACAATAAAATAAAATTTTTTTAAAAACCTGTTGCAATCAAAATCTGGGTTTTGGTGGTCCAGTAGAATAGCTACCATATTTCATGAAATCTAAGATGCCGTACTTTGTAAGATACATCCTAATTCCAGAGATGTTAAAGTACAAAGTATGCATGTTAGACTTGGTGAACTATATAGCACAGGTTTTCCTTTTTTAATTCGGAGTAAATAAGATACACGATACTTTCTTACTGCTTCCTAAAAGTGCTATTGGACATATATTTACTTTTTCAATAAAATGAGAGCTTGCTTTTAGAAAAAAATTAAGAATTTTATGATGTTTCTGAAAATGACAGTAGATGTCCTTTTATATCCCTAAATTGGGGTTGAACTCACTGTGCAGTATCTTTACAATTTTTTTTTCCTTTTGCAGTTCAAGTGTCATATGATTCTTGCTAGGCTAAGACACCTATTTCCAAATTGTGACTTTTAAGTATGAACTATATTATTCTAAGAGGAAATTGCTAAACTAAAAAAATTTAAATACATTTATTATATATTTTAAAACATATATAATTATGCAGTTAAGGAAATAAAATATTGAACAAGGTTGGAAAGATAATATTTTAATTTAATATTAATAAAATTATGTATATATATTATCACTAAATTTGCATATTTGGAATTAACATTCTTATAAATTAGTTTTGTACTTTGACAGTTTTCAATTCTCTTCTTCCCTCTAACTCTTTTTACTTGAACTTTAATAATCTCCTCTGTCTCTATTTTTTTCCAGATTACTATCTTGGATGCAAAGCGGAGCATGAACATTGGGATATTTCTTAAGCAATTTAAGAAGTAAGATTTTTGTATACATTTGAAACTTTTGTTATATCCATACTGTCAGCATCACGTGGGTGTGACTGAGCTGAAACTCAGATTCAACTATGAGTGAAAATCATTCCTCATGCATTCAGATCCTTCTTAGATGCATAGCATGATGAATCTGCAAGAGTCTGTCACCTTCTGCTGTTTTCCTTCAGGAAAACATAATTCAGTGGCTTCCAGTACAGCAAAAATGGCCCTGGGGTGTCCATTCAAGCCTGTCATGCCAGGGAATTTATAGATTCATCTTTAGCGTTGCCCCTTGAGGATAGGTTGGAACTGGTGAGTACAACAGCTATTAAATTCGAGTGTTTTAAGTGGAAAGAAGGCTCTGCAGGAGTTCCAGTGAGACCAAAGAGGATTCTTGTCTCCTCCCAAAGAAGAGTCCCAGTGGCTGTTCCTGCCTTAAGCCTTTCTGGGATGCTCCAGGATGGTTTTCTGGGTGAAAGGGTCTCTGAGTGTTCAGAAACCCATGTTTCCCTGGCAGTGGTGCTGATGTGAACATTCATCCTAAACTGCCCATCAGGCTGGGAAGAAGGTGGGATGGAAAGGAAGATGGAAGTGGTTTGTTTTCATTTCCACTGGCTTGTATCTCTGTTGCCACTCCAGCAGACGTGAAATAGAATCTGATTGTCTTTTCAAGGCCTCCTCAGTCCATTGTAGAAGATATCCATCAAGGAAGGAGTGAGCACTATGGATCAGAGACATTGCGAGAGTTTCTTAAGCTTTTGCCAGAGTCAGAAGAGGTAAGGAGTTTGTCACACAAGGGTTAGATGTTAGGGGTGATGATAAAAGTTTAATATTTTTAGGAGCGTCCAAACTGACATTGGAAAAGGCACTTGCCTATCCGGAGTCCTGAATTTTCTCGTGTAAAAGTAAAAGGTGACTCAGTAGAAAGAGCACAGGTTATAGAGTCAGAGTCCTGGTTCAGATGTGAGCTGTACCTCTAACTCAGAAATGTGGGCAAGCTTCTTAACTCCTGTGAACTTTAGTTTCCTTACCTGTAAAGTGAGGATAATGATGCTTACCTCATTGGGTTGTCAAGATGATTAAATCCTAGTTACACATCTAAACATGGTACTTTGGCACACGGGAGCTTAATAAATTTTAGTTCCCTTTCCCATCCTCTAATGATCTTCTTTGCCTTGGGTGAACCCAGGTTATTTTGAATTATATATATATTTTTTAAAAAGAACAAGAAAACCATTTTTGGTTGCTCTGAAAATATGAAGAGGTGAGTAAACTGTAAGTAAAGGTTGTTGACACAAATGACTAAAGACTAGAAATTTCTATCATAGTAACATAGTATCATAATAAAACTTATGGAGTTTTTCTGGTCTCAGTTAAGTGAATTGTTGAATGGTTAGAACCTTAATAGGGAAAAACAGTAACAATTTTATAAAACCTTCCAAAATTGTTGTATTGTCTTTTATTTCTGAACCAGCGACCCTTGAAAAAATTCAGTAGGAAATGACACAAATACACGTGCTTGTACACATTGAAATGATAGAATCTTACAGAGTAAAAAGTGTAAGGCCCCCTTTTCACACGTACTGGCGGCCTTTCCCCTCCTCATCCTCTTCCCAGAGGTAACATATGGAACCTGATTTTCAGCACTTTTAATAACAAACAAGAGAAATGTATTTATACCTTTTCTTTTATATTGGTTAGTATTAAAGGGTCAAGTTCAGGGTCTTAGTGGTTATCTAATACTCTGAGTATATTTAATAACCTGAGGCTTTCTCTACGTTGAGTTTTCTGTTTGCAAATTGAGTGTAATTTACCTAGGCCAAGATTAATGGCGTTTATTAATGTTAGTAAAGGGCCTTAAAGTCGTAAGGGAAAGGTACATTAAATCATAATTTACTCTGGATCTTACATACTGAACAGTCCTTAATCTTTCTTTTATGTAAAGAGTGGGCATTCCAAAATCTATAATTAGGATCTATAGAGTTTAATTTGAGTTGAATTTAAAAAGGCTTAGACGCTCTTGGAATCTCCTTCCTGCTTGGGCTTTTTCCCATGACTCCTCCATAGGACCACCATGCATCCTCACTCTTCACTGACCTCATCCCTTCTGAGTAAGGATCAGATTGGATAATGCTGGTGTTCTGAAAGCTCTGAATTTCTAACTAAATGCAGGTTAGGCATGAGGGAGGCTGCCAGGAGAGGTGGAAGATGGAATACAGTTTCCTTAATGTCTTAATTTCTAATTTAAAACTCAGAGGTGACTAGGGAAGCAAAGGCTGTGGGAGACTAAGGGATCTTTCAGAAAAGCAGATTAGCTGTCAAACCTATCCCGTTCTAAAGAACTGTGTTCTGAGTTGTGTGGGGGATATAATCCAGGGGAAGAATGTTCAGGGCAAGATGACTAAAACCCCCCGAAACGATGCCCCAAATCCCGAGGCACTCTCATGCAGACGGTTAGCTAACCCCGGAGACAGTGTCCCTCTGAGATGAAGTGTTGGCACGGGATCCTGAAATGCCTTCCCAGCTACTGACCAGCCACAGCTGTTTCTCCCATCAGTCTCCTGCTGCAGGGTCACCCTTAGTGTGAATATCTGACAAGTTTGGTCACACTGCTTCTTGTTTACATTACTGACTCTGGGCTTCAATGCACCACGCCCTCCAAACTCATCTGGGAGCTTCCTCCAGCAGGAACACCCTGACAGTCCCTGAGGCAGCCGGGTGCCCCTCCCTGCCCTCTCCGGGGATCCTGCTGTCAGAGGGGGGTCTTTGTGAAAGCTGAAGCCACCTAACCAGGCTTGCCTGCTGCGAGGACAAATTGGCTCTGTTGTGAGGCTGTGGGCCCCTGGCACCACCCAGACTCAAGGAGTCTTTGGGTCTCTGGGTGGAGGATGGAGGGTAGGGATGAGGCCAAGGAGGAGGCAGGGCCAAGTAAGAGGTTTAGGAATGTGGCCGAAGTATGCTAATAAATGCGTAAGGTATGTGTAACCACCTTAAGCCTATGGTGTAATGTGCTGTGCTCATTTTTAGCTCAGGAAGGGACTAACCATTTATTGAAGGCCCCCATGTTCCAGGCACTCTACAGGCAAAATTAAATTAAACCAGACAATGTATTTAAAGTGCTTGGCACACAGAAAGTCAATAAACCGTAGCTATTATTATTTTATGTATTTTTTTAATTTAATCCTCACAACGACATAAGATGTTTCTCATTTTGCAAATGAAAAACTGAGGCTCACGTAGGTTGGATATGACTTGCCTCATGTCCCATGACTGATAGGTGATAAAGGAGAGGGTTGGAATTGAACCCTGAATTGTCTAACCCCAGAACAGATCTTTCTGCTCCACCCCACTGCCTCCCTTTGAGGAAGGAAGGGCAAAGGTTGTCAAAACTGCACCTTTCACCTGGCTGGCCTCCCAGCCTTTCCATTGCCTCTGCTATCACAGAGTACTGACTGGTATGAATAAGTGTCACTGGAGCAATACTGTAACTTATCAGTACTCAGAAAAATATAAGCTGAAACAACCCTTTTCTCTCCTGAGTTCCCAGCTGATGGGCCAACTTAAGGTTAATTTGTTTTCAAGAGTTTCTCTGCCCTCCTCCATGACAAATGTTTTCTCTAGCGTGTTCGTTCTTCCTTCCTCAAATGCGTGGTTAAAACTTGCAGAGGAAAGGCCACCCAGAAATGAGAGCCCTGGGTGTGTGCTCTGAATACAGCGAAGTGTTCAGTTCGCAGGGGGCTTGGTATGAGGAGGCTTGAGTAGGAGCCAGGTTGAAGGTCAAAGGGAGCCCCTTACTTTCACCCCAGCCTAATGGCCCTTCCTTCTGTTGTCTTATGTCTACTTGCTGTCTTAGTGTTATGGGTATGAGGCTAGAAGATGGTAGACATTTCCTCTTCTCTCTAGAAGCAGAAAAATGCCTCCTCTGGACATGTTTATTACCACTTTTCTGCCCTCAGAGTCCCTGGGTGGCGCAAACAGTTAACATGCTTGGTTGCTAGCCAAAAGGCACCTTGGAAGAAAGGCCTGTTGAACTACTTCCGAAAAACCAACCACTGAAAACCCTATGGAACACAGTTTTACTCTGACACATGTGGGGTCACCGTGAGTCACAACTGAGTCGACAGCAACTGATTTTTTTTCCTACCATCTTTGTTTACTCTGTTACTCAAAGGGGAATGACAGGGAGGAAGCTAAGGGTCTTCTGTGGGGTGGATATGTTTGCGGGAAATCCTGCTGTTTCAAGGCCATCTGAGTGGAATAGAGTGAAGGAGGCCTGCCCTTCAGAATGTGTGAGTCTTAGGGAGCATGCTGTTTGCTATGATGACAGAAACCTGACACAGCCAGGCTGTATAGTAAGAGTCACTTGGCTCAGCCAACAAATTATGCCTAACAATGTTTAATAAATGCTTTTTGATAATGATGTTGAGGTTGTATAATAATTATAGGGTTTGTTCATTTCTCTTTCTTACTTCTCTACCACTGTGAAGGTACAGCAATCCCTTTTAATGGACACAAATCTTATTTTGAAATAAGAATTAAGAACTGTATACATGGCATTTAAATTCAGTAGTATCTTTCCATGGCCATTCTCTTGAAATCCATAAACATTTTTAGCCCTTTACAGAAGTGAAGGCTGTTAATCATCACTCACTTACAGTTTAGTCTAATGTTTAATAGAAATATTTACCAAGTTTTCCTAGCATGACCTGTTCTTATACTTTAGACTGAAAATTGCTGTGGTTTTCAGAAGTCTTGCGCATGCTGCGTATATGGTCTTATAAAAGGTACAACCTCACTGTGCCCCTGCCCATATATAGTTAAACCTAGTTCAGAAGAGATCAGAATTCATCCCATGGTTTTCTCGGTTCAGAAACTAGCCACTGACTTGGGTTTAGCTAAATTAGAAGTTCCATCTACCCAAAAATTTAGTAAAGCTAAAAATGGTGCGTTCACTCTTGGCCCCTTAAAGGTAGGGGAAATAATGCAATTCCATACATGGCTATTTTCTGCCTATTAAAAAAAAACGTAGTCTTAAGGACCAGAATTAATACTAGTGTGTGAATTTGCACTATTAGATTTTATATTTTCAGATAATTCACATGATATTTCAGTTTGTGGATCTGTTCAAATACTCCCTCCTTTTTATTTTTGAAGTGTCATTTCCTATTTTTCAAGAGACTTAAAAATCATGTTATTTTTATGGGAAAGAGCGTAAGCTTTATAAAGAATAATAAAAAGTGGAAAGTGCTTGTTGGCAACAATTACCTGTAGCAATAGGCTGTATAATTTACTAGTATTATTAAGTTACTAACGAAACTGAACCAAACCCATTGCTGTTGAGTCCATTCCAACTCATAGTGACCCTATAGGACAGGGTAGAACAGCCCCATAGGGTTTCCAAGGAACACCTGGTGGATTCGAATTGCTGACCTTTTGGTTAGCAGCCCAGCTCTTAACCACTATACCACCAGGGCTTCTATTAGGTACTCCTTACCATGAAGTATTTTTGTTGGAAGACTCTCTCTTACAGTAGACTTAAAGTGTTCTTGCCATTGGATTGATCCAGTCTTCTGTGTGACACTGTGTGAGAACTTTCTCTGTGGGATATGGGGACTTCTTTGCCCCTGCACCCACTGGCTAGCTGGCAATATATCTGTGTCAAGATTCTTTTTTTTTCCTTTACTACAGTTGGAGGACTATTTGAATATGTTTAATAACTTTTAGTTTAGTTTAATTATTTACACGAGAAATAAATAATTTTCATTGTAAGCGTTTTAGAAATTACAAATGAGTAGTGGAAGAAAATCAAGTAGCCACTTGTAATCCTATCACGTGGTGTACTTGTGGCCAGCCTTTCCGTCTTCTTCCTGTGCATGAAGTGTGTGCATGGGAGGGCTGGCGGACAGTAGACAGTTTTAGAAATTTACAGCAGTGGGATCCTGCTGTACATACTGTTTTATTACCTGCTCTTTTCATAGGAGGAAATCTTGACATTGGTCTTCCAGTTGTTTTATTGGTTTTTCTTTTTATCTTTCTGCTGGAGAGCCAGAGTGTACTCGCCTCAAGATACAATAGTTCCTTCCCATAAAGCTATTATATGTGACATGGAATTTGACAGAGAGAAGATGTCTTAGACCTTACCCAGTCTAAGTATTTTACATCCAAAATGCTCAAAGTATTAGGATTTTTTTTTTTTTACTTATGACTCAAAGAATCATGTTGTAATGACTATCCAGTCTCTTCTTTCTTCTCCCAAACAGTGATCACCCCTTCCAGATTATTACTTACAGAAAGTGTTCATCCTTAGAGCTGATTCTTTTTTCAGTCTTTCCCTGTAGTAACATCCCTGAGGATTCTAGTGGCTCTGGCTCTCTGATTTATAGGGTACTGAGCCCTGGTGGTGCAGTGGTTAAGCGCTCAGCTGTTAACCAAAAGATGGGCAGTTCAAACCCACCAGCACCTCTGAGGGAAAAAGATGTGGCAGTCTGCTTCTGAAAAGTTTTATAGCCTTGGAAACCCTATGGGGCAGTTCTACTCTGTGCTGCAGGGTCGCTGTGAGTTGAGACTGACTCAATGGCAATGGGTACGGGTACATCTATATAAGTGACACTAGGTCCTGTCTTTCAAATTTGTAAGTTTTTTTTTTCTTTTAAAGAAACAAAGTGGTAGGTGTGATGATTTCCTTTTCTGTCTTTTCTTAGTTCTGCATTTTTATCAATTTAGTGCCAAAGTCCTATTTTCTTAGAAGAATTCTAAAATGAAATTTACAATAATCTTAAATTTTAATCCTTAGTTTTTTTTTTTCTCTGCCTCCTTTTCATTTGTCTTTTAGGTAAAGAAATTAAAAACATTTAGTGGCGATGTGTCCAAGCTGTCGCTGGCAGACTCCTTTATGCACTACTTAATTCAGGTGCCAAAGTAAGGATATCGTCATTGATCATTGTTCTGTTGAGTATGACTTTTAAATTACTGACACTACAGTCTACAGTCTAACTTATTCATTTTTCAGCTACTCACTTCGGATTGAAGCCATGGTGCTAAAGAAGGAATTTTTACCTTCTTGTTCTTCTCTACACACAGATATAACAATGTTAAGAACTGCTACAAAAGGTAAGTAAACATATGATCTTACATGCATTTGCTTTTATTAATTGTGGTAACAGTTTATTGTAAAGAACCAAACCGGTTGCCACTGAGTTGGTTTGTTGAAAAGACTATTCAATTAAAATTAAACATGGAAAATCCCATTTTTAATACACACTAAAAAGAGATACGGTATATTACCAGGGATGGCATTTAAGATTTATTTCTCTTTACTTTTTTTTTTTCCTACTGAATTTTAATTTACATTTTATCCTTCCACAGAAAGTTTCTTTTATCTCAAGCTTCAGAGTAGGCTTTCTGGTTGTGGCTCTTTCTTGCTTCTCTCCTAGGCTAGCTTTCTGTTTGAGTGTTGTGTGTGTGTGTGTTTGTTTGTGTGTGTGTTTGTGGTGTGTATGGGGGGAGTACATGTACACAGAATGGGGATATTGGTTCAGTGGTAGAATTCTCATCTTCTGTGAAGGAAACGTGGGTTCAATTCCCGGTAAATGCACCTCATGTGCAGCCACCACCTGTCAGTGGAGGCTTGCGTGTTGCTATGATGCTGAACAGGTTTCAGCAGAGCTTCCAGACTAAGGTGGACTAGCACAAGAGGCCTGGTGATCTTCTTATGAAAATCATCCAGTGAAAATCTTACGGATCACAAAGGTCCTTTTCGCAACTGAACGTGGGGATGATGCAGGACCAAGCAGCATTTTGTTCCATTGTGCCTGGGTTGCCATGGCAGCTAATGACAACAACAAATGCAGACAAAAAGCCTGGACTCCTGGGCCACCTTCGTCTCTCATCCCATGCTCTGGCCCCTCTTGGTGGCTGGGATCCTGCTTTTACAGAAGGCCAACTTCCTTCCCCCCTGACTTCTCACAGGCACCTCCAGTGTGACTCTTCTGCCAGGGTTCCTGATGTTTCTCCTCTGTGATCTTGTCTCTCACCCACTTCCCCTTGACCCTAACATCTGGAGAGCTATTTAAGTTTGAGAGAGGCAAGTGGGTAATTTTCATTTCTTTGAACGACTCATTAAATGATCATCTACTCAACTTAGACTCCTCTCAGACTCGGTCTAGTACCTTCTCCCACAGGGACGGGAGCTTTGCTTCCTGCTGTTTATAGCCCTGAAAGTTTGGCCCGGCATATTTGCATTCTCTTCCTTCTCATCTCCAAGGCAAATTATCTGGACATCGCTGACCCTGACACTCTCCAGTGTTCATCAGGGCCAGCCTGATTTCTCTCAGTCATTTCTGGATTTCTAGTCATTGTAGAATTGCTTATTCCTGTTTGGTTGTCCTGTTTGTTTGCTCTGTCCTGGGTTGAGATGAGGTTTTTCCCATATTTTCTTCACTTTAGAGAGGAGACTAATAAGTAAGAATGTTTCTTCTTTCAATCTAAAGGCTTTTTCACATTTCTTCCTATGCCAAGGCTTATGCAGCATCTTTGTAAGGGTTGTTCCTGTTGTTCAAATAGAGATGGAAGCATATGTTTTCATTTGTGGGCACAGTAGAAATGTTTCCTATCTGGTTGCCCTTCAAAACTGGCCTACGTAGATAACATGATATAGGCAATGATCCAAATAAAATTTTTGAAAGTAATACCAGGCTTAAAGGAGAATATTAACTTAAAAATATCATCGGTGACATGTTACTATTTATATATACTATAATTTTAATAATCAGTTTTTCTTTTTAGCTTGTCATACATGAAAAAATTAATATTGTTTCTTTACATAGGTGTTCAAAAAAATTGGTGTTTAAAAAACTAGTTTGCCAATATATTACAATGAAATTTTTTTCTTTTTAAAGACTTAAGCCAATCCAAATGATATGTGTAGCTTTGAATAAAGTAGAAAGGTTCTCTGGTCCCCAAGGTTGGTGCTTTGCTGGTTATTTACATGTCGTCCTATCCTAGCCTGTTTATTTTTTTTACCAACTTATAGTTCATTGACTAAACAAAATGTTGCTCTCTATCAGTTTTCATACTCCGTAAGTATAGTCTCAGAGGTCAGTGGCTATAAGGGGAAAATTTAAAGAAATGACTTCTAAGAAGGAAGTTGTTTCTCTCACACATTGTACTGCGTTTTCATTAGGCTTTCGTATTTTTCACTATTTGAAAGTTTCCTTCATCAAAGTATTTTGTGATATATAACTGTCATACTCATTTGATTCCCAGTTAAACACTAGGACAAGGATTTCCAATACCAAATGGTGCATTAGATATACTGCAGAATGTGCTGCTTTATTGTTTTTTCAGACTTTATAGACAATTTGAGGTCAGTGCTTGCTTCAAACACACTTAAGTTGGGATGTGGTAGTTGTCTTTTGCACCTTTTGAGCTGAACCCTTCTCTAAGCTACTGTGATGTTTTCTTGACAGAGCTGATGTCATGTGAGGAGCTACATTCTATATTACACTTGGTGCTCCAGGCTGGAAATATTATGAATGCAGTGAGTAAAATTCAAAAAACAGAAACGTTGTGTTTCAACTTTTATATTTGTCTGTCTAAAGGCACGTGCTTATTTCTTTTCTCTTGATTTGTTTTCTTTAGGGAGGGTATGCTGGCAATGCCGTGGGATTTAAACTGTCTTCTTTGCTCAAATTGGCAGACACAAAATCAAACAAACCTGGGATGAATCTTCTGCACTTTGTCGCACAGGTATGTGGAAGTGATTAATACAGAGAGAGAATGTGTGTGAATCGTCCTTGGAGATGGTGGAGGTTTTCCCAGGTGTAATGTGGCATCAAGCCGAGTTAGGAAAGGGCATGATGTGTTCTGAGAAGGATCTATTTGCAGAAGCACGATTGGCATATTCCTGAATTGAGTGATGCCTTGGGTTATAGGGGTGGAGAGAAGTAGAGGAAGTGGGGAGGTGGGACAGAGAGATTAGTGAGGCCAGATTATGATGGACTCACGTGCCAAATTTGGGCAATTTGGATTTCATGTTTTAGCAATGGGGAGTCAGCAGAGGTTTGTGCACTGCATAATGGCATGGCCAGGTTTGTTTTTGTGTTTAGGAAAATGAGGCAGTGTGGAAGATGGGTTGGAGTAGAGCGAAAACTAGAAATAGGGCTGCCACTCAGTGGAAGTGGCTCCGTTTGTTCGGGAGTGTGAGATGGAGAGAAGAGGACTGGTCATTAGAGCATTTATGATGCCCGCCTGACTAGATTTGTGACCAGTTATGTGTAGAGTAAGGGAGTTGGAGCCATTAAAAAGATCTCTTCCTTCTTTTGATGAGGTCTGTGTGCCACAAAAATAGCTGATTACCAAGGGAAAAATCAGCCAAGGACAGTTATATCTTTGTTGTTAAATAGTCTCAAATAACTAATTGTACTGTTTTTTTTTTTTTTTCTTCATTGAATCAACTTGTTTTGACACCAATCACAGAGACCTAGCTTTAATTTGGGAATGAAGCAGTGCTATATGGGTGTTATGAGTGAGAGCTTTAGAATGGGACAGAACTGGAAGCAGATTTTGATTTGTCCTTTATTAGCTGTGCTTCCTCAGACAAGTTCCTTAAACTTTAAGGCTTCAATTTCTGCATCTAATAAAGGGGATAGTGATACTACCAGTTGCTGTTCAGTTGACTCCAACTCATGGTGACCCTGTGCGTGTCAGAGTAAAACCATGCTCTGTGGAGTTTTCAATGGCTAATTTTTCCAAAGTAGATTGTCAGGTCTTTCTTCCGAGGCACTGCTGGGTGTACTCAAACCACCAACCTTTCAGTTAGCAGCCGAGTACATTAACCATTTGTACCACACAGGGAGGGACTCCAGGGAAGAGTGATACCCACTACCCACTGCTGTTGAGTTGATTCCAACTCATAGCGACCTTGTGGGACAGAGTGGAACTGCCCCATAGGGTTTCCAAGGCTGTACATCTTTATGGAAGTAGACTGCTGCATCTTTCTCCCTTGGAGCAGCTGGTGAGTTCCAACTGCCATCCTCTCCTTTAGCAGCTGAGCACTTAACCACTGTGCCGCCAGGACTCCTGGGGAGAGTGATATCTATCTAAAAATAAGGTAATTGGGAGGGCTGAAGGAGATAACTCCACAGAGTTCTTAGCTCAATGTTTGGACTACAGTAAGCTCTCCATAAATAACACAGGGGTTAAGAGCTATGACTGCTAACCAAAAGGTTGGCAGTTTGAATTCACCAGCTGCCTCTTGGAAACCCTATAAGACAGTTCTACTTTGTCCTATAAGGTCACTATGAGTCAGAATCGACTTGATGGCAGTGGGTTTATTATTACTTAAGGAGCCCTGGTGGCGCAGTGGTTAAAGCGATTGACTGCTAACTGAAAGGTTGGTGGTTTGAAACCACCAGTGGCTCCTCAGGAGAAAGATGTGGCAGTCTGCTTCTGTAGAGATTTACAACCTTGGAAACCCTATGGGGTCGCTACGAGTCGAAATCGACTTGATGGCAGTGAATTTGGTTGTTTTTTGGTTTATTATTACTTCAGAATAATCTTTAGATGATAGATGGCTCGTTTAGCTCAGTACTTAACTGCCAAGTTAATTTGCAGGATAGTAAAACAAGAAGTGTGTTCCTTATCCAGAGTGGATTGCAGATACTTGTCTGGCAGAGCTCTTTTATTTGATTTTTTCCCATAGAAAAATTTATACATACACTGTTATGTGACTCTAATTGCTCTCCCCGTACTGTGACAGCACACTCCACCTTCCCACCCCTGATCTCCCGTGTCCATTCAACCAGTTCCTAACTCTCTCTGCCTTCCCATCTCACCTCCGGACAGAAGCTGCCCGTTTAGTCTCTTGTATCTACTTGAGCTAAGAGGCGCACTCCACACAAGTATCACTTTATGTCCCACAGTCCAGCCCAATCCCTGTCTGAAGCGGTGGCCTTGGAGATTGTTTTAGTTCTGGGCTGATAGAAAATCCAGGGGCCATGCTTTCTGGGGTTCCTCCAGTCTCAGTCAGACCATTAAGTCTGGTCTTCTTACTAGAATTTGAGTTCTGCACCCCACTTTTCTCCTGCTCCCTCCAGGACTCTCTGTTGTGTTCCCTGTCAGGGCGGTCATCGGTGGTAGCCGGGCACCGACTAGTTCTTTGGGTCTCAGGCTGATGAAGTCTGGCAGAGCTCTTTTAGATCCTTGTGTCCCATTGCTCTGTGTCACTTGGTCCCTGTCCATCTGGGGACGTTTCCTTAGTCTGTAATTGCTGCCTTCCCACCTGCCTTCCTCTCACCCTCTGAACAGGCAAAGAATCCAGACACCTCCATGGCATGTGCCCCTTCTGATTAAACTCAGTTCAAAAACTGGTTTAGCAGCTGAAGGTATCTCAGTCATTTAAAGGCATGCTTGTAGGTATGGTGGTATTTAAGCAGGAGTTATTGGATTCTCTTAGAAACAATGACCCTGCTAAGCTACCACCTCCTTCCATTGAGTTTTAATACACATGAATTGTATTTCTTTCATGTCAGGATAAATTGCTCTGGGAAGTTAAATGTATCTTGAGAGTAGGGGAATTCTGGTAAATCTTACTAAGAATATCAGAGTTCATGTCTCAGTGAATTACTTTGAATACATCACGCATAAAAATGGGAACAGTGATTTTAAGGCTCCTTTAAGCCCTAGGAAAATTATTTCCTTCCAATTTTATTTGGATAGTGAGAAAATTCTGTTTTTGTTCTAGGAAGCCCAAAAGAAAGATGTCATTCTTCTAAACTTTTCTGAAAAATTGTATCACGTTCAGGAGGCTGCTAGGTAAGCAAGAAAGACTGAGAGCAAATGGTGAGAATTCAAGAATTTCTAAAACCGTCTTATGAAAATGCAAGAATATTTACAACTTTTTGATTCAAGTTGGAACTTAAAAAGTTTTATCTTGTTGAAGTTTCAGGCCTTTTCATTTGCTTACAGAGGTGTATGTGCACCTTTGGAATTTAGGGGTTTTAAAAAATTAATCTTTATTTTTAGTCTAAAAAAAAACAATTGCAGTATATTCTAATGAATATCATCAGTGTAAAAAAAAGATGGATTAAGAACTTCAAATCCCTCCACACCCCAAAGGTAGAGCTCTAACAACACAGCCTATTACCCTGGGAGTTGTTATATATCAGTCAAACTTCCAGGGCCATAAATTATTGTTTCCTTGTAGAATCTAACACGGTACATTTATTTTCTATTGCATTAGAAGGAATTGGAACCATACCAAGAGCTGTGAAAGGATTTCTTTTTAAATTAATCACTCAACCCTACAGAGAAAGTATCTACCAAACATAAAGCTCTATTTGTATCAACCTAATTTGTTTCTGATCCTAATAAAGATGCATATTTTAATGTAGTTACAGTCTATGGGTATCTGACATTTTGAATTCTGCTTTTTAAAATTTAAAGTACATATCCATGTATCCAGTGGTGAATGTTCACTAACTGTCTCTTAGTGAAAAAAAAGAAGCCCTGATTTGTAGCATTTACTAATTTATATGGTGTAAATACTGCTACCATGACCGATCTAAAGCTACCAAAGTGATGTTACTGAATGCAGAGGTGAGAAGAGATACCCATAGTTAGCTTTTGTGAGTTGGCTTCAGCACACCACTCCATGTATCGACTCAGTTTATATATTTATTATTTGAGTGCCTACATATGGTCATGACAGATATGAACCATATGAACCATAGCTTTTTAAACCTTCCCCCTGTTGTTGGCCAAAAACCAAAGCCAGCTGCCATCAAGTTGATTCTAACTCATGGCAACCTCACGTGTGTCAGAGTAGAACTGTGCTGCTTAGCGTTTTCAATCGCTGATGTTTTGGAAGTAGATTGCCAGGCCTTTCTTCTGGAGTGCCTCTGAGTGGGCTCTAACTGCCAACCTTTCAGTTAGTAGCCAAGCATGTTAACGATTTGCACCACCCAGGGAATCCGTCATGGACCAATATCTCAATATTAGTGGCTCTATACACATCTGATCACAGATTACATGTCTGTCCCAAAGTGAGATTATCATTTAAGGTGTAGAGTTCAAAATTCATGTTTACAGATGACTCAGAATCGTCTCCAAAAAGAATGGACGTCTTACAAGATATGAACTTTTTTATTTTCAAATTACTAAAAGAAATATATGTAGACATATTATTACTCTTGACTAGTAGAGTATGAGAAATGTTATGAAGAGAAATGATTATTAAAATTTTTTAAACTGACATTTCTGGTTAGAGTTAGATGGGGGAAGTATAGCTACATATTCTTTTAGAAAAACTATTAGTAAGATTTGCTTATTCAAAATGTAAGGTGAAGTACAAGCTGGTCACAGATGTGTACCAATAACCAACGAAGGTGGAAAATGTTTTTTGTACAAAGAAAAATGAGAATTGACAATGAGAGCATGAAAGCTTCCTAATTTATGAATTGTTAATTGAATTTCACCTGGATTTTAGGTTTCACCTGTTCACTTTGCAAAGTGACAAAAACATTACTTGTGTTCTATTGATCTTGATTTAGCGTATGTAACAAAAACATTGCAATCGATCCCACCATTTCTTTGCAGAATTGTTAGCTGTGTGTTAGTTCTCTGTAAAGTACAGAGTGCTGGCTGTGGCTGCCCACGGCAAGCAAGGGGAAGTCTGGAGTCCCAGCACTTCCACATTACTCTTCTTATCAGGATGATCAGCGTATGTTGCCTTGACTTCTGGTTCTTTTCAGTTAGACCTTTCCTTTGTGTTTGGAGTCCTGGTGGCACAGTGGTTAAGCGGTTGACTGCCAACCAAAATGTTGGCAGTTCGAATCCACCAGCCGCTCCTTGGAAACCCTGTGGGGCAGTTCTTCTCTGTCCTATAGGGTCGCTATGAGTGAGAATCAACTTTTTTTAAATTTTTTAAGTTTTTTCCCATACAAAAATTTATACATACATTGTTATGTGACCCTGATTGCTCTTCCCATACTGTGCCTTCCCATCTCACCTCTGGACAGAAGCTGCCCGTTTAGTCTCTTGTTTCTACTTGAGCTAAGAGGCACTCTCCTCAAGAGTATCACTTTATGTCCCACAGTCCAGTCCAATCCCTGTCTGAAGAGTTGGCCTCGGAAACTGTTTCAGTTCTGGGCTGATAGAGAATCTGGGGGCCATACTTTCCGGGGTTCCTCCAGTCTCAGTCAGACCATTAAGTCTGGTCTTCTTACTAGAATTTGAGTTCTGCACCCCACCTTTCTCCTGCTCCATCCGGGACTCTCTGTTGTGTTCCCTGTCAGGGCTGTCATTGGTGGTAGCTGGGTACCATCTAGTTTTTCTGGTCGGCTGAAGTCTCTGGTTTATGTGGCCCTTTCTGTCTCTTGAGCTAATACTTTCCTTGTGTCTTTGGTGTTCTTCATTCTCCTTTACTCCAGGTGGTTGGGACCAATTGATGCATCTTAGATGGCCGCTTGCAAGCTAAGTCAGAATCAACTTGATGGCAACTGGTTTTGTGTGTGTGTGTGTGTGTGTGTGTGTGTGTTTGATGGCCAGAGAAAAGTATAAGTCTCCCAGAGTCCTGCTGGCTTTAGTTGTTAATGCTGTGCAGACCTAGTGTATGAAGAACTTTGTAAGCCCCCAGTTTGGGTTTTCTCACCAACAAGAGCATAGTTACCGCCTGCTTTCTTTGAACCGGGGTATGTCTTTATGAAGGACTCTTCTCTTAAGAAAACATAGAGGGAATCTCCCACAATCTGAGTACAAGGGTAGATAATGTAGTCGCAGTGGTGCTCCCCTTCTGGTTCTAACTAAGATTGGCCAGCAGTTGGTCTTGTGTGATGTACCCTTGTGACACAGGGCTTCCTTGTGCAACTGCCCACTCTCTCCTTTCTTCTTTTAGATTATCTCTGGATAACATGGAGGTAGAGCTGCACTCACTGTTTGTCAGGACGAGATCTCTCAAGGAAAACATCCAGCGGGATAGAGAACTTTGTCAGCAGATGGAAGATTTCCTTCAGGTCTGTAGGTGATTCAAGTCAGTCCTTCTGATTTCATCTTCCAGCAGTACCACCAAGGCTGGTTAAATTTGCATGGGTGTGTTTGTGGGAGAAGCAGGTTCCCATTCAGATTTTTCCCCTAAGTCAGTAAAAAGAACTTTGTAATTTAATGCCGATTTGTTGCTGGTTTTTTTTAAACAGAGGATATTGAATATGGTCTACAACTAAGGAATTTGTTTAGGGATTGGGCCTCTGTTTATCCCTGTTGAATTCGCATGTTCACTGTAGTGAAATGGTATCAGCATATGATGCTTACGCTTGGTCTATGCCTGGCAACTCAAGTTTTGGTTCTAAACCACGTTTTAGGAGTTCCTGTCTCCAATCAGACTTTTGGGTGACAGAATGAAGTTCACAGAAGCCTTAAAGTTGCCTTAGAACTTGGGCTGCTGCACCTTCACTTGTTTTTTATTGAAGAAACAAGCTACATTTTGGCATGTTTTATAATGAGAGCAGTAGAACACACAATAGCTGTGCCTATTAATACCTGAAATACATTAGCCCCACAGGGTGTGTCAGGAGCTGCTCCAAATAACATCAACAAAAAACAGCAGCGTGGACATGTTTGTGACAGCTCACTGTGACTCACTAATTACATAGTCTGACATACTTCTTTTATCTTCCTTATTTTTAAAAAAAAAAGTGACACTGTTTCACGCTTTTAGCCTTTAATGAAACTGTGCTCTCCCTAAAGTGTAGTTAGTCTCTGAGGCCTGCGAGGTGGAATGCACTAACAAGGCTGCCCTTGGCACTAGAAGGAGTGGTGTGCCCAGAGCTGCACCAGCTTGAGCCTGTACTCATAACTCAGCTATAGCAGAGTGTTCTGAGCGTTAGCTCTCACCAGCAAACATTTGATTTTGCTTTGGCTCTGCTGTGAGTTTGTTTTTATTACCAAACATGTGCTCTGTATTTGATTTCAAATATATCCAAACTCTGATTTTCCATTGAAAGTACACAGATTTTTCTCAAAGTGAAACAGCAAAGCAAGCACCGCCACCACAAACACCTAAACATTAAGCACATTCAGGTGCATAAAACAAACTCAGAAGTTCAACAACGAGCACCATCCCGCATCAAGATTAGAGTTCTGCATGTTACATTTTCCACAGGTTTCTTATATTAAATGCTAATGTCTTACACTAAATATTAATGGACAAAGGTTTGTGCTAAAGCAACTCTGCTATAGCCACAACTCTACAGTGCCCCTCAAAGACGTTTTTTTAACTTTTGAAAGTCTTCCAGTAATCATTTTTCTATCTGTAAATAAAACATTTCACAAAGTTTTTTGTTAATTTTTCTTAATTCTTTTTTTTTGAATAGGTGAGGTAAAACTTTTTAAGGTTGGTCAGGTTTCAGCCATGAAGGACTCCAGCGCCAGTTGGAAAACTTTGGACTTTGTGCCATAAGCAGTTGGGAACCATTAAAGGTTTTTGAGCAGAAAAATGACAGGAATGCATTTTTGCAGGTCTGTTTCAGTATTATAACCCTTTGGGCAAGAAACACTTCATGACTGAGTTTGGAACTTTGATCCCTACCAGCCAAGTTAGAGATGTAAAGTTGAATTTGATACCTCAACTGCTGATCTGTTGTCATCACGTTTTGCCAGTGTAGCTTTGGACTTTTTAGTTTGTGGCCCTAATCAGGTGGAGAAGGTTAAAAAAATAATAACTCTTAGCAAATAACTCTGAGTTTCGTTGTTGTTCAGATCCATATTCAGAGTGTTTCATTTTCCCAAGTCCTAAGGGAGACTTCAGTGCCTTTAATTTTTCCTTCCTAGTATTCTACCAATCCCGATAGGATCTCAAAATGAGACATATGAGGTGAATCTAAACTTCCGTGTAGATTCTTGTCAAGAGTCCTGTTTTTATGCAGTTGAGCTGTTTTTGGCTAGAATCCATCCTTCCCTTCTGTGGTAGAATGACAGGCAAAGATTTATCCTTTCATTAATACCCTTCTTTCCATAAAGAAAAATACAGCATGAATGCACACACTGCCTTGGGCTACTGACTCAGATGGTTACTTTCTCTGGTATTTGGTTTCCTGAGTAGTTTTGGTTTCCTACCACCTCTTGAATGTGTTTGGTGTAAGAAAGGGGCCTTTAAGTGGGAATGTGTATTTGGAGTGGGTGGGAGGTGGTGAGTCTTACCAGGATTTCTCTTTAGGGTCTGTAGCTCTCCCAGCATGTTCAAGCAAGCAAGTCCACTCCTTCAAGGAGGCAACCTATAATTTTACCATTTCCTGGGCCCATCCTCCTCACTCAAAATGTTTTTCAAAGATAAGCCTTTTTTTAGCATGATACATGATATTTCATAAAATAAAATACTCCATACATTCCTCCTTCATATAAGTCCTATCCCACAGTGAAAAAGAAAGCAACATAAGACGACTTTGGTATCCCAAGGGGCTGTGGCTCGTACAGCATCCTTCCTCCCTGTAACCACCAAGCCTCCTCATTACAGCTCAACATGTTAAATGCCACTGAACTGTGGTCAAGGAGATGTGTTTGTGACCTCTGGACATGGTAGCTCTCCATCCTGAAAGGGTTGGGAACTCACTGGAGGAAGACATACCTCTTTGATTCCCACTTATTTGTGGAGGCAGTACCAGAATCTATAAAGGCCTTGCAGACTTCTTTACACTCAAAGAATTCAGAGAAAATGAAGAAATAAAGAGGGTGGATTTGTAAAGGGAAGTAGTAATTTCTAACCATGGGTACCCATCAGAATCTCCTGGAGAATTTTAATAAAGTAATAATACGCCGGCTACACCCCAAACCTATTAATCTGTGTGGGTGGGGTACAAGCATGTGACTATCGAGAAAGCTTCCCTACTGGCTCCGAGAAGCACCTCTGGTTAAGAAGCCCTGGCTGGGCCCGTAGTTTAGGCACGAGTGCCTCAGTCCTTTGGGAGTGACACATGATCCTGATATAGCTCATTCAGGATTAAGCTTAAACTCCCTCTCACCCTGGCAAAACTGACAACTTGTCAATAAGACAAGTGACTTCCAGGACCATCTTGGTCAGTATAAAAACCAAACCTGTTGCCATTGAGTCAGTTCCAGTGCATGGCAACTTCGTGTGTTACAGAGTAGAGCTGTGCTCCATAGAAGCAGATTGCCAGGCCTTTCTTTCACAGCACTGCTGGCTAGGTTTAAAGCACCAACCTTTAGGTTAATAGTCGAGCACAAACTGAATATAGCACCTAGGGACCTTTGGCCAGTATAAAGGGCAATTTTAAGAGCAAGAAGAACAACCGAAAAAACAGCTGTAAACCTGTGTGATTTTTTCAGGGACGTTAAAGGTAAAGATTTTATGAATGGCGTTCTACAGGTTAAAGCTCTTAAATCTATTTTGTTGTGTCTAACCCTTACACAGAAGGGATTCGCCTTGCTTTCCTGAGGTTTTTCTTAGATCGAGTTATTTTCTTTTTGTCTTTGAGTGTGCTGGCATCGCAATAGGCCTTCCTTTTTCCGAGACCTGAAACTGAACCCAGGGAACGTGTCTTTCCAGGCCCCAGACAGGACGCCGAGCGCCCATCCACTGACCCTGTTCACTCCAGTACGTGCTTGCTTGTTTCTTGCAGTTCACCGTAGAAAAGCTGACAGAACTGGAACACTGGAAACAAGAGCTCTGGGATGAGGCCCACACACTTATAGATTTTTTCTGTGAAGACAAAGAAACCATGAAGCTGGACGAATGTCTTCAGATATTTAGAGACTTTTGTACCAAATTCAACAAGGCAGTTAAGGTACGGCTCACGGCACCTCTCTCTTTTCACGGGTGTTTGGATTTTTATTTCTTCTTCCCTACCCATTCCTCCGCCCGTGGCAGAAGGATGGTTGAGCATTCCTGTGGTTTCGGGAACGTCTGCCCCAGGTAGCACTGCCAGGCTCTCAGCTGGGATTACTGGGACGCGGCTCTGCCATCCTAGCGCCACAGGCTTCCACAGCACCAGGAGCCTGGCATTTGGCTGCCTCGGTTACTTTGCTCCTCATACCAACCCTCTCGCCAATTCCCTAAAAGCATTTTGTTAGTAAAGTTTATTTATGGAGGCAGTAAGAATATTTAAAAGCCTCTTTGAAGATCCTGAATGTCTTGCTCACCTCCCTCCCCAGAAGAGAATTTCCTCTTTCAGGGAGATTTGTTGCAGTGGTATGATTGGAAGGCCCTCTCTTTCCCATTTTGAGCATCACGGCCATAGTGCGGTGTTAGCACATTGGAGCCACATTATTTGCTGCCAGCGCAGGCTTTGACATCTCCAGATGTCTAGGGAGCCTGCTGCTGCACTGAGCCCAACAGGCATCCTTCTTGCCCTTCAGCCACCCACTCCAGTAATCTCTTAAGTTCAGGGCAGAAGCCAGAAAACTCTCTGGGCTACTTGATTTTGTGGGAAAAAAAATGTTTACCTGTCTATTAAAAACAAAACAAAACAACTCATACCCCTTCATTTCAGGTGGTGAGGAGGTAGCAAATACTAGTGGTTTCTCTTCCCCTGTGTTTTAAATGCAGATCTGTCCATAGCAGAATTTCTATTAGGACTGTCCACTTTCTCTCAAGCCTAAGTGAGCAGCCCAGAATTACTGTGAGTCCTCTACTCTCCTTTCTCCATCCAGCGAAGAGAAGGAGGCTCAGCTTGTGGCCACGTTTACGCTCCTCTGTCCAAGCGGTGAGCTCAGCCCAGCTGGGGAGGCTGTGGTGGCCTGGTGGAGACCGAGTTGGCTCTGCCTGAGGCCTTCATTCCCAGTCAGAATTCTGCAGGCCAAGGAGGCCACCTGCACGATGCTGTTAGCACAGCTGTCCTGATAGATACCTGGAAAGGAGAAGGCCTGAGAGACTGGGGGAGGATGGGGAAGGCCAGAACTGCCAGAGGAGCCAGGAGTTAGGGGAGGGAAGCCCGGCCTGGGAAGCCCAGCCAGAGCCTCACAGAAACTTGGAAGGGAAATCCCACCATTTGAGGAAATTGATTTTCAAATAAAAAGTGCTAGTAATAACAGATTTGGGTTGTGAGAGCCACGTATTTGCATGACACAAGTATACTTAAAGTGCACAGCCAGGTGGTGAAGTCGGCTTTTGGTATGTGTGCTTATTTTGGATCAGTTTTGTTGGGGAGGGGTGAGTGCCTTGGAGCAGGGCGGAAGGTGGAAGGATTTGTAAAGCACACCTACTCTTCTTCCTCTTCTCGTGATTAGGAGAACAGAGCTGTAGCCCAGGGCAGGGCGTGAGGGGCTTAGCCCTTCTGCTGAGGTGGGCAGCTGGCAGAGCCTCCTTGGCGTTTGTGGTGTTTCTTTTCCAGAGAGCAGGGCTCTGGAAGGCATCTCTTAATGTCTTGGGTATATCTTTGTGCATCCAAATTGTTGTTAAGTAGAATGTACTGCACTTGAGCACGTGTTGCATGTGTGTATGTAGGCATATCCATGCAACACCTAAGTACAATTTTAACCCCCTTTTAACACCCATTGTGTTTTTCTCTGCCCCTGCCTGAATAGTAGCGCACTTTCCTGGAAGTTTTCTCTTTCTTTGCTTAGACACCACCATGGGCCTCTTTGGGGTTGAGGCAGCAAGCTTCTGTGGAGCCACAGACCACACTGAGGGGAGAGTGTTTTCACTGAAAGTGGGAAGTTGGATCCAAGGAATCAGATGACAACTTTAGACAGATGGTTGGAACAGGCCTAGTGTGCTCCCCAAGTAGCTGTGGAAGAGCTTACCCCCTCACACACACACACACACATCCTACCTCCCCAGGTAGAACACCTTGCGAGGCCCCCCTCTGTGCATGCACTGTGGTTGTAGGGCAGGTGGCTGGAATTGCATGTGGCCCCCGCGTGTCTCATGCCTCTGCCTGTTTCTCTCCACCCTTTGTTCAGGACAACCAGGACCGGGAGGTGCAGGAACTGAGGCAGCAGCAGCGGCTGAGGGAGCTGGAGCAGAAGCGACGCTCCTGGACAGTAGGGGAGCTCGGGGGGTTTGGCCGGAGCAGCAGTGAGAACGATGTGGAGCTGCTGACAAAGAAGGGTGCAGAGGACCTGCCCCCTTTCTTGCACCCGAGGCCTATCAGCCCTTCCTACCGGCCCCCCAACACCCGCCGCTCCCGCCTCTCTCTGGGCACCTTCGCTGACCGGGAGCTGCTGACCTTCCTGGAGAGCTCCACTGGCAGCCCCGAGGAGCTCACCAAGTTCAACAGCCTGCCCCGGAAGAGCAGCCCCCTGCAGGCCCAGCCCACGGTAGCCTGGATGGAGCACGGAGACTTTGGCTCCAAACTTGCACACAGACCTCAGGCCCTGGAGGGCCAGGCAGAGGCCCCCAGCCCACCCACAATTTGGCAGAGCCAGCTTCCAGCGCCCCAGCCTGGGGACCCTGGCTCTGCCTTCCCCCGAGCATGGTGCGGTGGAGTCAGCATCCTCCGAAAGAGGAACAGTGAACCTGTGGGCCTGGGTCCAAGCCGCTCCACTCCACTCTCACCACTGGCTCTAGGGATTGAGGAACATGAGCTGGTGACGGGGCTGGCCCAGTTTGACCTCCAGGGTCACAAGAGCCCAGAGGAGACCCCCCAGCTGGCCCTGCATGATGTTAGCCCTGTGGAACAGGCATCTCTGTGGGATGGTAGCCCTCAGTCCCTCGGTACTGGCAACTGCAGCCTGACCCCCGGGGGCAGAGGTTCCCGGGAGGGTCTTGGTCCAGCCCTGGAGGATGGCGGGGCTGGCCCTGACCAGCCCAGCAGCGTGGCTCAGGTGTCTGTGGGGAGCAGTGACCCTGAGAACAAGGATGCTGGGACTGTGTTCTACATCTCAGATACCACCCACTGCTCCCTGACTCTGGACTGCTCAGAGAGGACAGATTCCAGGCCTGGGGGCAGGGAACCCAAGGAGAGTGGGGACAGGGGCGGCTCTGTGTCCTCTGGGGCTGGGGAGACTGGGGGTAACCAGGTCTCCTCCAACCCTGCTTCCAGCCCCTCTGAGGAGGCCCCTACTCCGGTCTCCCAGAAGAGTGAACCCAGCTGCAAGGGGGGCCTTCCCAGGGACAGAACCCCTAGAGGTAAAGATGTGACAGCCCCGAAGAGAAGCTCCCTCAAGGAGGCCTCCCCGGGTGCCCCGAAGCCAGGCAGCAGTCGGAGGAGCCCAGGGGCTGTGCCCAAGCCTGTGCGGACCTTGCACACCTCCGAGAACGAGAGCATGCGGAAGGTTGTGCCCATCTCCAAGTCAGTCAGGGGGTCTGGGGGCTGGAAGCAGCCTGAGCCGCTGTCCCGGGGGGCCCCCAGCAGCACAGACACGTCGTTGTTGCGCCAGAGCTCTGTGCGAGGGACCTTGGACACCTCACCCAGGAAGCCCTCCGCAGGGGTCGTGGCCACAGTGCCAGACGAGCAGAGGCTGCAGCGGGTTAGCAGCATCCGGCTGGGGAAGGAGCCTCCCTTACAGCACAGAAACTCTCACAAGAAACCCAGCGCCAAACCCCTCAGGAACATGCTCAGGCAGAAGCCTGAGGAAAACAAAATCTGCTGCTCCAGCTCCCAGGGCCGGAAGAGCCCTGAAGAAGAGCCCAAGACCCCACCAGCCCCTAGCCTCCCCCTTGTCCGGGCCTCCATCCCCAGCTTTGCCCGAAACACGGTGGCCTCCTCGTCGCGGTGCATGAGAACAGACTCCCCTCCTGTTACCAAAGCCACCAGCCTGACTCCAACAGTCTCGCAGCGGCAGCTGAGGGTCAAAGGCAGCCCTGAGGACACCTCCCCCAGGGACAGCAGGACCCTGAGGCGGGCCAGTAGCACCCGCACCTCCAAGAAGTGCCCAGAGTCTGCTGAGGGGCTCGGTGCCAACACAGAGCCCCCTCTGAAAGGCAGAGGGGTCGGGGAGCGGGCCTCCTTCCAACTGAAAGGCTCAAATCAGACCACATTGGGGAAAATACTGAATCCCTTGTGGAAATGATGGGTCGTGTCCTCTCTCTCACCCCCAGGGTCCAGATGGTGAGGACAGCTTCTGGGATAAGGGCAGGAAGAGGCCAGCACTGAACATCTTTGTTCCACATATAGCAATCCCCTGGTGCCACCTGCTAATGATCTTGTCACTAAGGTACAGTCTCGGAGGCCCGTGGACTCGGCCTGTGGTGCTGCCTCCTGCTGTAAAATCCCGAGTCCGAATGTGCATTTGCTACTGTGACAGGGCAGCACCTCCCCCACACCCAGAGCGGCTCACAACCCCCTGGCCCCAGAACAAAGGTCTGTGAAACTTGGAGTGTAAGGACATTCTTACGTAACGAGTGAAAAACGTTTTTGGCCAGTTTTTATATATCAAAGACTTATTGTTAATATTATGAAAATGAAATGTTTTCGTTGGTTCCCTTTGCAAAGTGAAATGCTTCCAAGGGGGGAAAAAAGACAGGAAAAAAAATACCTTTGTATGAAGGTATTTTTATCTTCTTTGTTCCCTGGCCTCAGGGTCCCACCTGCCCTCAGACTGCCGTCCATTGCTGGCAACTGGACTTCCCTGCAAGCCCTTGAGGGTTCTGTGGTTGGCTCCGTCTCCTTGAAGAATTTCTGGCCTGTTCGTTTCTCCTTGTGTAATTGGGTGAAGGTTTGTGCGCGAACAGGAGGGCAAGTTGGACTCTGGGGGCAGAAATCGGATGCTCCCTCCTGGGTAGTTAAGGCAGGTACCATGGGCAGAGAGAAAGGAGCCGCATGGGGTGTGTGGTGGGGTTCCCGATGCCCAGGGCCTCTAGCTGCAGGGCAGGCCTTGCCTGGAGACAGGTGGCAGCTCCTGTAGAACGCTGGGTTTTCCATATTTTAGAAGTGCCATATTTTAATGGAAAGATGTCCAGGGCAGTTCATCTGAGCGCCTCTCTCCCAGTCCTCGTCTTCCATCTGTGTTTTGTAAAACTCAGAGGCGGCTGCTATGGCTTGTGTTCACTCTGGTTACAGGGAAGGATAAACCCTGTCTCTCACTCAGTCTTTCTTCTCCCTCTGCTCTTCTCCCTCTTGCCTCTCTTTGCTTTCTACCCAGCACTTCCTTCTTTTCTCATGAGACCTGGAGCTGGGGACTCCATCTTTAACCATGATGCTTTTTAACATAGGTATCTGTTCCCTGGTACCAAAAAAACAAAACCCATTGCTGTTGAGTTGATTCTGACCCAGGGCAACCCCATATGTTACAAAGTAGGACTGCTCCATAGGGTTTTCGTGGCTGAAATCTTTATGGAAGCAGATGGCCAGGCCTTTCTTTTGGGGTGCCAACAGTGGGGGGTCGGGGTTTGAACTGCTAATCTTTCGGTTAGAGAACAAACCGTTTGCGTTGCTCAGGGATGTGTTCCTTGGTATATAGTGGTTTTTAAATCCTAAGAAAAGCCAAATGCAGTTTTTAAAAACAGACAAAAATAAATTGCTTTCAGCTGAATTTATATCATCAGGAAAATTTTGGTAAGAAGTCAGGCTTCATTCAAAAGGAATTATTCCTTCTGAGAATAACTGGTAAATGGGAGAAACTTTTTTTAAAGTTGCTCTTTTTTTCCCACTTTTGTTCATTTATTGGCAAAACTTCATTTTAGATCCCACAGCGGTAGATGCATTTAGGCAAATATGAATATTTGTGATGAATCCATGTGGTCAGTGCCATGGTTTCTCTCCTGTAGGGTGTTGCCTTCCATCTAAAGTCAATGGAAACTTTGAGTTTCTGTAAGTCAGCTAAATTGAAAAGGTGAAGTTTATGGTTGAAGAAGTAAGATACCTGATCACAAAACCTCTTGTAGAATAGCCCTGAGTAGATATTTCCACCATCTAATGAAACCTAAAAATTCATGTATTTAACCAGGCAGACAGAAACTTTTAAAACACAGACTCCATGAGGGGTGGGAAATGAAAGAATGTGGTCCTAGGTTTGTGGATTTGTGGATAGTGAAAGGGCGGGGGCCCCACTTCATTGCTGATGCTATTTAACTTTGGAAAGTCACTTATTCTCCACAAGCCTTTGTTCCCCAGTCTACAAAAGTGGGGGCACGGCCTCAGTGATGGTCTGCAAGGGCCCCTCCAGCTCCAAGAGTCCTCCTCTGCCCTGGGATCAGCTTCTCAGAACCAAGCCCCAGCATCTTTAAAGCAAAAGCCTTACTTAAAGGCGTTCTCAGAAGAAAGCACCTTCAGAATGAGTTGTTGCTTTAAAACCTAATGATAAGCTGCGTTTCCCGAGAAAAGGTATTTTACTTAGCCCTGTGTACCACTTCTGTGTGTGCATCTGTGTGAGCAGGTGATCATTCTATTACCTTTCATCGGTAGTAAGCTTGGAAAAATAATTTAAGTATATACTGGAGAAATGTAAATACGTTTCTGTATAAATTTGTTTCAGATGAACTGAATGTATTTAATGGTCCATTTATATGTTCTTTTACATAACGTGTAGTTTAATAAAGTTCCTGTTTATGGGGGTTGTGTTATATCCTTGGCTTTTTCTGTTGATATGTTTGTGTGACCCGGGCAAGTGCGTGTTTCCATTTCTGCACAAAGAGAAGATGGGATGGAGGAGGTGAGGAGGGCTGGGATACAGCAGTCTTGTCCTCAAAAGGATTAAAAGCCACAGTTAGGCTCTTGGGGCAGGATCTTCTTGCTAGCACAGGACCTGCATTTAATTGAGGGCCTTGGGAGGGGGCCCAGTGGCAGAGCAGTGGGAATGCAGCATGATTCTGACATCCAGCCCCAGTGGAATGTTCAGCACCTCACACACACTCACTTTATTCCGTGTTTGGGGCCAAGCTTTGTATAATCTCTGTGGGGCCGGCAAGTCTGGATCTGCTCCTTTGTGTCCTCATGAGTTTTGGCTCAGGACAAGATTGGGAAATCGCAGCTCACCTCTGCGGCTGGCTCAGGAATGAGCAGAGAGAGAGGGAGGTGCCGTTTTGTTTGAAATGCAGCATTGGCACTTGAAAAGAAGGATTGTGTCTTAAGATGCACCTCGTACCTCAGTGTCTCTGTACAAAGCTTTAGTCCTAGCTGCTCTCCTGCTGTATTTAAAAGTGGACGAGAAGAATATCATGGAGTCAGTGGATTTCTTGACACCAGTGGATGAGCGTGTCAATGACGTTCTTGTTGTGAGTTGCTGCTTGTTCCCTGGACACTTAGAACCTGGGTTTCCCTGTGTTTTAATAAGCCATTTGGGACAGTGGATGCCTCCCTATACCTTCAGCCCTGCTGTACAAGAAGTGATCCACATAAACACAAAAAATTCTTTTGTTTTCCCCACAGTGGGTGTCTTAGTCATCTAGTGCTGCTATAACAGATACCACAGGTGGATGGCTTTAACAAACAGAAGTTTATTCTCTCATAGTCTAGTAGGCTAAAAGTCCAAATTCAGGGTGTCAGCTCCAGGAGAAGGCTTTCTCTCTCTGTTGGCTCTGAAGGAGGGTCCTTGTCATCAGTGTTCCCCTGGTCTAGGAGATTCTCAGCTCAGGGTCCCTGGGTCCAAAGGACGCACTCTTCTCCTGGCACTACTTTCTTGGTGGTATGAGGTCTCCTTGTCTCTGCTCGCTTCTCTCTTTTATATTTCAAAAGAGATTGACTGAAGACACAACCTAATCTTGTAGATTGAGTCCTGCTTCATTAACATAACTGCCACTAATCCCATCTCCTTAACATCACAGAGGGAGGATTTACAACACATAGGAAAATCACTTCAGATGACAAAATTGTGGACAATGACACAATACTGGGAATGGGGGGACACAATTCAATCCATGACAGTGGGTCTCAAGTACTTCTGTTTTTACCCTTTTATTTATGGCTTTTACAGGAACTGTCGCCCAGGCCTCATGCAGATTCACATTGAGTTAAAGGACTGCAGTTTCCTAAATGTTCACTCATGATTCTTATTTGTGTTTTATGGTAAGAGGCTCTGGGATAGCTAGATGCAACTATTAATTTGGTCTTCTGAGGTGTACAAGTTCATGAACTTCGGCTTCTAAGAGTACATCTTTCCCCTACCTACTCCCATCTGCTGATGTGACATTTTGCAATTTTCCGTTGAAACATAAACTTAATTATTTGTTCTTCATTATATTTTTTTGCTTCATGGTCTAACCCTGCCCTCCCCACCACCCCCTCCCCCCACCGCAAAAAAAGGAAGAAGAGATTTTTATTTTGGTGTGTGTCCCCAAACACACATAAGCATCAAACATAGAAGCCAAATTTGAATAAGGGACATTGCATCCAGTCATTTAGTAAGTACTTCTTAAAATTATTTGGGCCATGAGCACAGACAAAATGGAGGACAGTGGGTCTGCAAAGTCAGTCTACTCAGCATTGATGGGGTAACAGCCTAGAGCTCAGATGGAATCCGTGGCAGGGTTGAAAAATAACCCAGAGCAGCCTCTGCCTGGGGGCTTTTCATCCAAAAATATCTTCCAGTAAAATGTCCTCATTGGACAAGAGTAACATTCTTGTAGTTGAAGAAAATAGCTTTTCAGTCTCTGCAGTGGGGCTTTTGGCCTCCTGGTTGTTCAACAGGACAAGTGGACCGTACCACAAGAGGGGTCCTGGCCCCAAGAAGCATTCAGAGTCAACTCATTCATGGGCCCTTTACCAAGGACCCACCAGGAGCCTGGCTCGACCTGGCCACCAGCCTGCGCGGGGAGGGAAGGCACCTGACACCTTTCAATGAGGGGCTGGCTTGAAACTCCCATTGAAGGATGCATGCTAGGCTCTTGGAATCAGGTCCTGGGGTTTGCCTCTGGCCTGCTCGAAGCGTTCAAGGGCTGAGTCATACGGGCAGTCCCTAACTCACAAGCAGGTTTTGTTCCCCAAGTTTGCTTGCAATTAGGCTTGAATTCAAAATGCACTTTCCCAAAGCAACCATGTTATGCTTTATAGGCACATTTCCAGGACAGCCCATTAAAAATCTATTTAACCCATCTATGGGAGGACTATATAGTTCAGTGGTAGAACTCTTCCCTTCCCTGCAGGAGACCTGGGTTTGATTTCCGGCCAGTGCATCTCATGCACAGCTACCACCTGTCTGTCAGTGGAACTTGCATGTTGCTATGATGCTGAACAGGTTTCAGTG